GTGCATAGTCCATCCAATAAACTCTGGGGATGCCCCAGGGTCTCCTTGCAGTGGGACATGCCCAGAAAACTTTCAGGAAAAGGCAAGAAGAAAGCATCCTCTCCAGTCAGATTATAAATAAAACCAATATTATAAAATATTACAATTAATTGTAGTGATCTCCAACTAATTAATTTTAATTATCAGCCCTACATACTTGTGAGTGCAGATAGAAACTAATGGCAGCATTATTCTGCTGCTGTTACTGAATCAGTGCATCAAACCAGCAAACAAACAAGATGAATCATTACAGCAGCAAAGCCATTGGAAGCTGAAGTGATCATCGCTGAGTCAAGCTGTGTTGTGTGACTATCATTAAACACTTTTCACCAACCAATTAGTCATTTGCACCTCAAGTACATGACACATGTTTGACATTTATACCAAAAACAACACGTTAATATCACTCCAGCAGCTCTTTTTGACTCCTCCACACATCAAAGCAAAACCTGGACCTGCTGCAGATCTGCGGGCTTTCACTGAAGGAACAGACGGATGTGTAAGTTTGACCAAGGCAGGGAGTGTATAGCAGAGGCTAAATCTCTGTAAGCAGGCCCTGGCACCGCTCTCCGATTGCCTGCCCGCCATGTGGACCGGGGCCTGGAGAGGACTAATCCTTTGGCACGAGCTTGACTCACAAATGTTGCCGTATATGTGCGGATGCAGAAGACCCAATCTGCAGGATAAGGACAGGACCTGGCGACAGATTCATAAAGCTCCCACTAATGACCTGCAGTGCTTTCCATGTTCACCCCTCACACGGCCTCTTGGACGCTTCTTGGAAACGGCGGTTGATGATTTTGGAGGGCTGCCCCGTACTGTACTGACAGGGACGGTCCTGATCGTACATAATTTTGGACAGCGGGATATTGTGAGGATTCTGACCCCTACGTTTAGTTTTTGTTTAAGTGATAAGCATGCAGGGTTGGTGAAAACCCGACATGCTGTTTCAACCTGTGCAGAAGATTTGCTGTGTGCTTTCTTGGCAGCTGAGATGATCTGTAGCAGGCCTGAAAGCAGTGGGAAAGGCCTATGATCTGTAATTTTCCTACACTCGTGTGTGTTTCTTTTCTAATTGCACAAAGAGATTATCGTTTGACATTTGAGCAATAAAAAAATTGCCACCCCCTGTTATGCTTTTATAGCCAGGCTGCAGCCAGCAGGTTAGCTTAGCGTGTACTCGTCTTTTAAAACAGCCTCCAGTGGAACTTACTTTCTGACTCTCATCGCGAGTTAACGCGGTAATTAAGGGACTTAGAAAGCATTAGTAGCTAAAGTTAATTTAGTTATGCTGCATTTAGACAATTTTAGGATGTTGGTTTACCCCAGCTTTATACATTTGTCTGTTAAAGTTGATGATCTCAGCTTTTTCCCAGAAAGATCGCAGAAATGCTCATTTGTGTTCTTGTTGAGAGCGGCAAAACTGTATTTCTTTAGAGTTTGAAGACTTTTTTTTAAATAAACGAGTACATCTTAAATCTTTTATTCCACAACAAATGTTTTGCTTCATTGTATTTCCTGCAATGTAAACATTGTGTTCTGCTGAATTTGAGGAAAATGCCATCGTCCTTTAGGAAAGCGTTTTTATCCTGTAGTGTAGGTTGTTTTTGGTGTTCAGGAACAGAAGCTTGGCAGCTCTTAAAGGTGTGGGTCACTGAAGAAACATTTTTTTAAATCTTATTTCTGATTAGAATCGGTCACTCTGAGTTTTTCCATACAGGCTGAACATGAAAATAGTCTCCTACACCTATCTCCTGCATTAGCTTCTGATAAAAAACAGAAGGTGAAACTCTAGAATTAGAAAATCCTGCCAGATCTACGTCACACTGTCACTTAACATTCATGGACTCACCCATCTTGACTCACGACGGGGAAGGCTGTTGTTGGTTTAATGTCCAGGAAACAGCAGAGAACGTCTTGGCTGGTAGAAGCTAACTGTTAGCAATAGCAACTTCACCACATGGCATAACTCCTCCGGGCTTGTGTTATTTGTGGAGATAAAACATCAACTTTAGAAGTCAGTGGTAGAGTCATGCTATCCAATCAGAGGCAAGACTTCTAAATATCAGGAAATAAGACTCCAAAACCTGCCGTCTGAAGCTCAGCTATGAAGTGGCTCACTTCTAGTTCCAATGACTTACAAAGCATTAATTCCTCCTAGACCACTGCAAATGTGTTGCTTAAACAATCGTCCCACACCTTTAACCTCTTGTTGCAAATTCCCATTAAACCACTTCTGGCCTTAAAGCACCCAGATGGAGCATCAGGACTAGTACCTTTATCACCAAATCCAATACATGTCTACTGCCCCCTGGCGAAGGATCTGCAGGTGGCAAGGGGAAGTTTTATTTATTTATTACTATTGTATTATGTAATTACATAATAAAATAAAACATGTCATCCATCCGTCCATCCATGCTTCTGCTTATCCAGGGTTGCAACTTTTGACATTAGCATTGAAATGGGGTCAAAAAATTATTTTTACTGAAAAATGTGAGAATTACCTTGTTTTCCCAAGACCTCAAACTTTACAAGTAAAAATAACAAATGGGTCAGTATATTTCATCCTTATTCCAGCTTTAAAGCCATACTTTACGACTTTTTCATATTTTAGATCATTTTCTTCAGCCAGTATGTGTTAAAATGACACTTTAATGAAAGGCCATCCTGCCCCTGTCACCCCCTGCGGCCAGAATATTCCACTTAAAACTTCACTCTGGCAGCCGCCACCTGTTGGGGATAATGGAGCAGACATACCTAGTGCTGCAGTCAGCCTCTCGCACGTTTCCTGCATGTTTTTAGATCATGAACACAGCTGATGTGTTTAATTTAGTTATGAGTCACTCCTGTGGACACTAGTGAAGACTGGGGAGACATTTTAACTGTTAGATCAGGGGTGTCAAACTCAAATTCACACGGGGCCGAAATGAAAATCTGGGACGATGTCGCGGGCCAAACTTAATATTTTTTGAAAAAGTGACGGCAAATTTGCACATTCATTTTTTTTATCAACATATATCCAATTTTGAACTTTTTAATTTGGAAACAAACTTATTTTTGCATTAGCACTGAATGTGGAATAACCAAATTACACACGAGCAAGTTAGTTTTAAATAAAACACATCAGTGGTATTTATTACTTGTGGTATATTCAGCATTTTAAAAATTTATTCAGGATTTATATTTTCTTGTTGTTTATTCATTTTTCTTATTTGTTATTCTCCTTTTCTCCTGTAATAAGTGTCATCGCTGCTGTGACATCTAGCTTTCCCCACTGAGGAACAATAAAGGGATTTTCTATTCTATTCATCTATCTGCAGCCTTTCCACTTCCTGTTTACTGTAGGTTAAATCTTTTCTCACGGGCCAACAACAAAACAAAATTATCATCTTATCTTAAATGAAAATGCAATATCTCACCTGTTAACTTTCATGTTTTGGAGCAGAAAAAGAGCATAAAACCAACATATTTAAAGCTCATTTTGCTCCACTGGTTTACTGTGATGCTCACCTGTTCCAGCCAGATACCTGCATCATGGGGTTGATCTGAGCTGAGGAGGAGACTCCTGTTGTTTTGTTCATCTTCATCCTAATATTGACAACATTAGATGACAACAGGTGCTCACATAGGTTTGTGCTGATGAACATGTCTGAGCAGCTTGACCACGTTGTTGTGTGTCGGGGAGGAAACACAACGACAGCAGCCACAGAGCCGTGCTGATTTGAGCGTGTCGCTGCTCGCTGGAGTTATATCAGCTCTGTCTGGAAGTTAGTTGGAAAACTTTCTCTTTCAGTCATGAACACATTACTGTGCAGTTAAAATCTCAGTTTCTGGGCTTGAAGGTCAGCAAATAGCTGAGTAAACTCGGCGCTGAGTGAGAGGAGGGTTTAGTTTGTCCGAGACAGCAGAGCTGCAGACGCTGGACAAAACACAAAAGAGGGGGCGGTTCGGCTCCGCGCTAACGCCACAAAGCATCATGGGAGTTGTAGTCTTTGTGGTAAAATCGGCCAGCGGGGTCAGTTTTAATATATTTTTGATATTTGTTGATATTTATCTCACGGGCCACATAAAAATACTCCGTGAGCCTTGTGTCTGACACGTGTGTAAGATTAAGGTGTTTTCGTTTTTTTTTTTTTTCGGTTTTCATTTTTGGTTTGACCACAGATCTTTAATAATGACACGGGTGTGCTAAAAGCATGCAAAACTGCCAAGTGTGCCTTTAAGAAATTCTAACCTATCCCACATCAGTAGTTAGCTAGCTAATTTATGCTACAAATCTATGTAAATAAAAGGGAAATTGGTGGTGGTGTGAATGATTACAAAAATATTGCATGAATGTTCCCCATTCGGGTCTAGCCAGTAGCTCCTCAGTATGGTCAGAACTAATCTTTATTTCTCTAAATCAAGGTTGTTCTTAGAACAATTTAACAGGTGAGATTGTTTTTTTTCACTGAAACACACTGAACTGCCCCTTTAGCCTTAAATAAATCAAACTGGTGGTGTGCTCAAACTTAAAATACAACAAAAAATATTAATTGTTTTCATCCTCTGAGTCTATTTCTCTCATTTACACCAAACGAAGGGCCGGTTTCAGGTAATGAGCTAAAGTTTGACCTCATTGCTCATTTATATGACCGCTAGTTATTGAATTTGAGTGCAGGGGAGGTTTTAATCTCTCTGAGGAAATGTTACAAAGACATCATGGCTGCGAAAAATTATATTTCACCACTTTAGAATTGGGCCCATGAGTTGCAGGATCTATAACCTTAATTATGCAGCGTGATATGAAAACGAGTAAAGATTTGTAGGCCGGTTATTAAAGGGGATGTGCTCATGGACCCAGAAGATATTGGATTTGTTTCAGGAGCGGAATGCGTGTGACGATCCAGCCTATTAACCTCAAAGGGGAGCACGAGGGTCTGGTGTGGATGCGGAGATTTATTTTTTAATCAGGAAAGTTAGGGGCTCGGGTCTGATCGAAGGGCAGCTGATGGTTCCGCTCCTTTCTCCAACACTCTGCTCTGGAGGAATTCACATGGAGAGGGAGGCGCCCAAAGATTCAAACATCAGGCCTCCTTCCTGATTTTGACAATTACCCCTGATGGGCACAGATTGGTTTCCCTGAACAGGCGCAGGTGCGTAGGATTTGTGATGCGGCGCAGCTGAGCGTTTTCAGGTTTGGGACTGGACACTGGCGCATCTCGTGCTCAACGGAAACTGATAGAGGCGTTATCATCTCTCCCTGGGTCGGGATGCCTTTTGCAAAAAGATCCTGTGTAGAACTCGTGCTGCAGCATCCGGATTCAGGGGAACGGAGCTGATTTGTGGTTTATTCATTGTGGGAGGGAATTTGACCGTGCTGTCATTGCACGGTCCGGTCCAAGCAGCTGAAACGCATCTTCTCGAGCGGCAGAGCCAAGGAAGAAAGAGTCGCTCCTCTACATCCACTCTCATCTGTGCGCACGGCTTGAAATGAGGAACACATCCCGGATGTGCTCCGCGTGAAGAGGCGAGCCGGGCGGCAGGTTCTTCTGGGGGTCTCAAGGACGCAAATTTAAAAGGAGGAAAGTGGCAGCGAGCTACGAATCATGAAGCGGGACGACTCCGGCACCGCGATCCCCTCCAAAAAGACGATAATCGGGAAGATGTTTAAAGTTCGCAAACGGAGGGAGATGATGTTTGTTCAGGTGTGCTTCATCTGCAGTGTCCTCTTCGTGGCGTGGAGCATGTCGGCGCTGCTAACCAAGACAGGTGAGTGCATGTGTGGCGGGGGAGAGTGATGCTCCGGGGGTGGAAAGGACGCAGCGATCACGAGGAGCATCAGCTTTGATGTGAGGGGAAAGATGGATCTGACTGTCACCTCCGGCGTTTTGTAAGAATTGCGCGTTTCGGCTCCCTGACCCTTTTGCACCCACTGGACGGAGTCAGCTGCGCATGGTTGGGTCACGGCGTTTTAAAGTCTCTCTGTGAAAGTACACGCTGTAACTGTGCCGCAGTGTGCGCGTCGCAGGAAGTGCGCGTTTTTCTTTTTTGTTTTCATTATTAAGAACCAAATTCGTGTTCTCAGCTCCTGAAGATGGGACAGAATTAGTTTGTGCTTTTATTTCTTAATGTTGAATTTAAAAGGGGCAGCTTTTTTTTTGCACCAGGCACGTCGTCCACACACACACACACATACATACACACTCGCAGCTTCAGGGTCATGTTCTATGCTGGCTTCGTCGCGTCTGATATGGGGGCTCCAGACACGCCACCATCATCGTCATCTCTGAGATGATCACGCTCCCTGATGTGCTTCCTCGTGGCGATGGAGGGATTCCGAATTATTATTTTTTTACGCAGAGGCCACTGATGATCACAGAGGGGAGGGGTAGTCCAAGCTGCACGCGCGCTGACCAAACAATTCCGACAGCTGATCGAGCCTGTTCGTGCGCACAATTATCACGTCCCCTCCTCTCACATGCAAGAACTCTGGCGGCGGGCACACACACACACACACACACACACACACACACACACACACACACACACACACACACACACACACACACACACACACACACACACACACACACACACACACACACACACACACACACACACACACACACACACACACACACACACACACACACACACACACACACACACACACACACACACACACACACACACACACACACACCCCGTTATGTAATCTAATGGCCAACCTTGACATTTTGCTGGTGAGGAATGATATCCGACACCGCTGGGATCAAAGGTTAACGAGACTTAACGCACCCCCCAGGGCCAGACCCTTCACATGCACTGAAGATCAGGAATCCGGACAATTAATTGAATTAATTGCTTGACGTTTCCTCTGCTTTTGCATCAGAACCTAAATCTGGAGCCTTTTGTTAGATTCGCAGCTGTTTGCCTTTTGGGATGAAAGCCACTAATTCCAACACCTCACTGCAGGTTTTGCACAGATTATTGCACGTTTTATTAATTCTATCAGAAACAAGAGGCTTAACAGATTATTGATATCAAAGGCAACGGACAGCAAATCCCTGTTTATCATGGGAATTGGAATAATGCTTCTATTGTGAAAGCTTTTATTTTGTAGAGTTCCCTATGGTCATAAAAACCTTGCATTTCTTCAATTTTAAGACATGATTATTGAAGAATGCAGGATGCAGAGATATTTAGGTCAAATCTGGAATTTCTTGCAACCTGGAATTTCTTGCAACCTGGTTAGACTTCAAATTGGTGTGAATGATACTCTGGAACATTCATTATAGCAAAAATATTTATTAAATTGACAAATTAATTGCCTTTTTGTGTGTTGTGAAGTTCAGGCTTGCATTTAATTGACTCCAAATGGTTGTAAATCAGTGTTTCATAGAAATCTGTGCAGTGGCTTCTGAGATAATGATCTTGAAAGATCTGCTTGGTGTATCACAACAAACCCTGTCACACCCGAGTTCTCTCTATCTTTAACTGATAAACGTAAATGACGTGCTGGACCACCCAGACCGAGGAGACAAACAGCCTTTAGGCCGACTCTCCAGTGTGGTCTCGACGTGCTGTCACTTATGCTGATCAGCCTGTGTGACAGTGCTGCACGTGGGAGGCTAGAACAGGTGTTTACAGCATGAACTCTGACAGGTCGCTGCAGCGGCTGACTGGGGAGGTCTGAGTGAAGGACCAGGAGTGCAGCTTGTTCACATCATGAAAGAATTGACAGTTGGCAGTTCTTTAATTTACACCCCCCCCCCCACACACACACACACATGTAGAATAGCAGCTATTTCTAAAGTGTTGTATTTGTGTGCTGCACAGTTCTCCAATAACTGTCAGATATGCAACATTTAATGACTAAACCACCTTATTTTAAATGTGAGGTTCACTAATTGCCTTTATGGTGTAATCTAGTTGTGAATTCTCCACATGTGTGTCAAAAACTCAAATTTTGTTTTGCAAAACCGCCTGATAAATGTTTAAACCCCTTGAACGGTTTTAAAAACCAAAAAATTTTAATACATGTTCAGAGATTTTACTAAAAAAATTGAAAAGTTCGTCAAGTCCACTTCCAAATTCCCTTTAAAGTCCAACGTTCCATGTAACCCCAACCTCATCTCAATTGCATGACAATTTGCAATTCTTTGTGTGCAATGGTGCAAGCTAAGATTTAATTGTTTTATTTCAGAGCGTTTTGATTTGTAAAGTTGGATGTGTGAGTTTACACCAGGGGTCGCCAGCTCCGGTCCTCAAGGGCTACCATCAAGGCTTTATTTATATTATTTATATAGCACCTTCATCACCTATTACAGGAGGCCAAAGCGCTGAAGAACAAAATACAATAAGAGATTAAATCATTGAACATGAAACAACAGAATTAAAAGCAAATAATCTAAACTACCATCCTGCACATGTTAGCTGTTTCTTTTCTTCTACACACCTGGTTAAAATGAACTAGTAATTAACAGATCTGTGCAGAGTTAAACATGGTAAGGAGAGGATTAAATTACTCTTCAGGTGTGGTAGAGCAGGAAATGCGTGATCTATAAGTGCAACAGAGCAGTTTCCTGCTCTTTTGCCCTACTTGTTGAAAGTTGAATTACAACGGCCATAAACGACCTTGCAGCAGCCTGCTGCCAGTGCTAACGAGTTAACCCCAACACGAGCCAGCTAATACTAAAATAAACCACAATGTAAAAAGAACCACACTGTTGGACAAAAATATTACTTGCACGCCTAGTAGCAACAAAGCCAGGTCACCATTAGTCTGTGATTTTTGTAGCCTCCTTTAGCTTCTTAAATTAGCATCTTTTCCTTATTTTTGTGCTTTTATTGATTGGCAAACTGAAAAAAAAACTGCTAGCATAACAAGTGTGCTCCCTTGTAGAACACAGGCATTTTTGGTCATCAGAGGTCAGCAGAGTGTCAAATATGAAACTCGTCAAGTTTCTAACCCAACAATCACTGAGATCAACGTTAAAGCTCTAACTTAAAATTTTAAAAACTGTTAACTTGGCTTTTTGCACGCACGCACGCACGCACGCACGCACACACACACACACACACACACACACACACACACACACACACACACACACACACACACACACACACACACACACACACACACACACACACACACACACACACACACACACACACACACACACATATAGCTAGCAAATTTTATTTGGTGGGAAAAATAATCTTTATTGCTAATGAAGTAAAAGAAACCTTGTCCATTTTAATTTTTTAACACCAAGGAACATTGTAAAAGTTCTCTCAGCAGTGCAATGTAATGGTCAGATTTTTACAGTGCAGGTTTATGTCAATAAGCATCTTTTATGACAATTAGCATCTAAAATATTTTAGCATCTAGACATAAAAACATCAATAAAAAACACCAATTCCCAAAATGTTTTTACTTTTTTCATGCTTGAATTTGTCAGAATTAATTCTTTATGACAAACTTGAGCATGGAAAAGTCCACCGTGCTGCTGGAATATAGTTCAAAGTGGCAAGGTCTTGCAATGCTGCCCTCGGTGTTGCCTGAGGTGATGAATCGTCTTGAAGTGCACATTTCCGAGTGTGACAGCATGAAACGCTCGTGCAAACACACATACACGTTTTTGTTTAAACCTTCTAGGAAACATCAGGCTCTTTAAGATGCAGCCTTGTGGTTGCACATATAACTGCCAGGACAAATTGCATTTAGATGGACAGTTTTGCCAAATTAAAATGGTTGCATATATCTAATCCAGTTTGTTGTTCTTGGCACAAGCAATGTTTTTATGCACATAAAATTGGACTGCTCATTTATGCAATGCTCGTAATAATGCGGGAGACCAGAGGTTCGTGTTATGTTTGAGCCCAGAAATCACTAGTTTTGGAAGCTGCATTATATTTGGTCTAAAACCATTGTTAAGCTTCATGCTGGTAATTGATTCTGGATTAAAAACTGTTAAATTAGTGTTTACAGAACACGATGTGTGGAAATTTGACCCTCGCTTGAGCTTACCAATGCATCAAACCACATTAGTTCCAAAATATCACAAAGCAAACTCAAAATCTTTGGAACTCTTGAAATTTAGCGTAAGCTATGCATAATGAGTCTTTCCCCACTAAATTCATGTTCCGGTCACTAATGGTAGAAAATCATCTTCATGTTGTATTTAAGGTTTGTGCTTTGGTTTGTCAATGTTTAAGAAATTTAGATTTTCAAACATTTGTATGGTTTCGTTCAGTGGTTACATTTGGGATCTAAATCATTATATAAAAAAATAAAAATGCACGACCTCTAACCTTTTTGTGCACGAGGGACATGGAGATTTAAACAGACAGGTATTTTCTTTGGATCGAAGTGGCTATTACACATTAATGCTGCTCGTGATGTGAAAGTCAGAAACAAGATCTGAAACAATTCCCTATTTGTCTCACCCTAAAAGCCACAAATGAATGTATTGCAACAATTTTTTTTTACTTTGATGTATTTTAATACTTGCATTTTTCTGCTGCATAACCCTTAAAAATGATAGAATTAACAGAGTTCTTTCTTGGAGCAACAAGTCGGATAAAAATCTAACTTTTACACCTGTGTTAGCTGGTTTCCTTCAGAAGGAAATTAAGTCATAAGCATACTCCTAGATGTACTTGGAAGTGCATGCAAACATGCATTAATTTCTCCATACTGCATTTGGTACACTAAAGCTGTGTGCACTTAAGGAAATTAACATTATAATGTGTGATTTAACACGTTCATTTCTTGTGGTGCATCTTTTAAAGGCCACTAAAGGCCACTTTTAAAACTTGCCACTGTTTAAACCTGCAAATTATGCAACAAGTTACTTTTACTAATACTAGATTACCATAAAAATGCCCAAATAAGCCCTGTTTACGATAAAAAAAAATATAGGGAATACATTATTCTGGATATATTAAAATGTGTGCAGACGTATTAGTGCTGCAAAGAAAACAGAAGAGCTGCTGCAGGAGCCTAAAGGTGAAAGTAGGAAATATCATAATGTGTAAAAGTACATTTGTGTCAATTCAGCTTAGACTGAGAGACCATCTAAAAGGCTCAGGAACCCTTTGCAGGTATTTTGGATTATTTGCTGTTTAGAGTTTGAGTCTAGAATATTTAACCTTTTCACAATATTCTAATTATTTTATATGTAGTCTTTTCATAAGCTATAAACCATAATCATCACAATTATACCTGGCTTTGCACCAGTCTCTCATAGTTTCACCTTTAAGTTAAATTACTGAAATAAAATAACTTTTACGCCATATTCCAATTTTCCAGTTTAACCTGTGTTTGTAGAAGAATCTTGCTGGAGACTGTGCCACAACGTGTGAAGGTCATATTTGTGTAAATAGCCACCTTATACCCCAACAGTGTGTTTTGCCCTTATTCTGCCATCTTTACTTGTGTTGACATTTAAAAAGCTACAGTTAAATCTCAAAAGGGGCCGAACTGTGCTGAATTCAAAAAGCATGAAAAAAAGCTGTTTATAAAGCAGAATATGGCAAGTTTAATGGTTGATTTATTATAATTTATTGCTTAAACCTGAAATACAAATTTGATTATTGCACATCCCTGGTAAATAGTTTACCAGTGGTTTATCTTCTGTCTGCTTCTCCATCCGTTGTCCAGATGTCACCAGTTCATGCACAGATGCAGGTCTGTGTTCTGACTCATGTGAGTCTGGCTCAACGGGGTGGCCTACTTATGCTTTAAAAATTAAATTAACTTGTTTAGAAATAACTGAATGTGACTGAAATCAAAGGCATGCAGAAGCTCTGGTTGAAACTCGGATATCCTGAAAAACCTCAGCAACTGACAGTTAAAGTCTTTTCATTTTTGCCTGTAAAGAGCTGCAGAGCTTGTTTGAAAGTATTTTAAAATGTGACTCTAATTCAAGCCTTAGCTTGATGCATGAGCTGCGTTAGAGCCATCAGTGTTAAACATAGGTGATTCTTCTGAGCTGCTACACTGTATATCCAGCTCCACCGCTTCATTTTCCACTTAAACTCTGAAAACTCCAAGTTTTAAAAGCTCCTCTGTGTGTTTATGACTTTACATAATAGATCAGACTTTTAAAAATTCTACATAAACCTTGTTTGAGGCTTAAAGCTGTTTTTAATGATGTGGAAAAAAACAACTACTGCCCTCAAAACATAATGGCGCAGCTGCATTTTCCTGCACCGCTGCTGGATGCAAATATATCTACATAAACAAGAACTTTTAAGGGATTAAAGAAAAGTAAACCTTGGTGGGATTAATGAGCGAGCTCATGAGCTCTTGGTCACAAAATGAGTGCAGCTGTGGCCATGTTGGTTTTGTTTGTAAAATTGAGTTTAAAGGTTTTCTTATGGAAAAAAATATAAATGGTTGCAGGGGTATTAACCTGTCTGATGCTTTGCTGTAAGCCTGTTAGCTTCGTTTGCTACTGCTAATCACAGCTGTTTATAATCTGTTGCAGGGCATGGGATGACTGTGGAGGGACATCCAGACCTTGAACACTGGGGGAGGAGGCTAATGGCCGTGGTAATAGAAAACATGACGGAGCCAAAGAATTGCTCGCCGCCAGGTAAACATATGGTTTTACCTCCTTGTGGTGATCAGGTGATCAGTTTCTCCTGCTTATCTTCCCAAAAACTTAAACGACAAGTCACCCCAATTTTTTTTTTGCTGATAAACTATATAAATGCGTGTCGAATCGGGCTGCAGACGTGTTGACGATAGTTTTGCACTTTAGTGCATTTTAGTTAAAATTAAAATTTTCTGCATAAAACTGTCAGTGTTGTGCTATTGTCGGGTAAAAACTATGCACTGCATTTGAATTTAAATCTGCCATCGCTATTGGCTAAGAGGTACCCTATGACGTTAGCGGGTACCATATGATGTCACAATGCCATTGTGAGCCTGTGTGTTTGTGTTCTTTTTTTAGCGGCTCCGCCCTGTCGGTCTACTCCACTCCCACCTCCTGTTTGAAAAATGCAGCAAATGCTGTTGCCTGGCAGACCAAGAGGGCGTAGCCACTTACAAATATACACACAAAGGCTCACAATGACATTGTGACATCATATGCTACCAGCTAACGTCATAGTGTACCTCCTAGTCAATGGCGATGGCAGATATAAATTCAACTTTGGTGTAGTTTTTATCTAAAGGGGGTGCAACACTAACGGTTTTAGGCAGTACATTTAAATTTTAACTAAGATGCACTAAAGTGCCAAATTATTGATGACGTGTCTGCAGAACGATTAGACACTCATTTGTATCGTTTATCAGCAAAAAAAGTTGATTTGGGGGTGACTTGCTCTTTAACACAATGGAGTTTCCTACTCCTTCACCCTACTGGTTGAAAGTGGAAATACAACTGTCGTAAACAACCTGCTGTAGCTAGTGCTAACAACAAGCTAATGCTAACATGAGCCAACTAGTACTAAAACAAACCACAAAGTAAAAATATCCACACTGTTAAACAAAAATATTATTACAAGTCCAATATTAACCAGGTCACCGTCAGTCCGTGATGAGTTCATGTAATTTTTTAGTTCACTCACCCTTTTAAAAACATTATTTTCCAACATTTTTGTTGCATTTACAGAAATTCATACTTTAGCCTGACATTTGCTCTAAATTTGCGCCTGACATTTGCTCCAAATGTCAGGCTTAAGTATGAAGAGGCCCAAACGATTTGGGCTGCAAGATGTTCTTCTACAGGAAAGTTAATTTTAGGGGAATTAGTGTGTTTCTTTGTTCTAAGATGTTCCCATGCAGTCTGGCTTTGGACTGACTGGTTTTATATTTTTTCCAACACTGAGTCACATGAGCTTCATATGACCCTGCATGACTCTGTGGAGAGAGCCTGCCAGGGTTTAAAGCGGAGTTTAAGTTGAATCTTCTAAAGATTTCTCCCAAGTAAATATTCTTTTTGGAAAAGTTGCTTAGGATAGTTTAGGGAATATCTATTTTCTGAGCAAACCTACAGTTTAATAAATTTGTTGTCGTGTGTGCAGGCTTTGAGACAAAGGCATGGATTTCTAAGTTCTAAACAATTTTACCTGCAGCAGATTACTTCCTGAACATCCTCTGTTCAGAGAAATGGCTTTTTGTGTAATGTCTAGTCTGAGCGTAGTTGGGATCTAAATCCACTCCTGTAGTCTCAAATGGTTCCAGTCTGCAAAAACGCCAACCCCTCAAACAAAAGCCTTGTTTTTCAGTAACAACTAATCTAATTACCTTCTTTTTATCATAATGCCGTGTCCATTACTGATGAGAAAATGCGTGCGTTACTAATTAAGCAGCGCGGTGTGTTGAAGCTGTCATCAGCTGATTGGTAGCTAAAGAGGCGGATGTTTTCATCCAAGCACATCATGGCCCCTGAAGAACGAAGAAGACGTGATGAATAGTCTACAGCTGCAGACCCGCAGATTTGCTGCTGCAGGCGTGAATCTGCAGCCGTGCCCTTCTTGGCATGACAGCGGGACGCCCCGAAGGTCCACTCACCTACTTTCTTAGATCATCCAACTGTAACCTGTTTCTGATCATGTCTTTAGTCCCGCTGTAACATTGGTTGCATCAGTCTCAGACGTCATGGTGCTCAGGTGTTACCAGAACTTCGTGTGTGTCTTTACCACCCAGCTTCAGCTCCTGTGTTTGGGTCTGACCCAAGTTAGTAAATTTAAGTCCATCAGATTTGCACCTCTTCTAGTGTCATTTTAAAGAATATTTATTTCTTTATTTAACCATTACTGGACTACCAGCAACAGAAATGCTACTAAAAACACACAATTATTTGAAGCTGGAAAAATTAGAATACTGAGCAAAATTATTTATTTCAGTCATTTAACTAGACTGAGACCATTTAAAGGCTCAGGAGCCTTTACAGGTGTTTCTATTTGCAATTATAAATTTTAGCTGATTGGGGCCTTGTTAAATATCAGACAGTGACATTTTAACAGTCTAGATGAGTGTCATGTTCCTGTTAAGTGCCCATATATTTCAGTTATTCAGTTTTATAAAAACATTTGGACATACATTTTATTATGTTCCAGTCATTAATCACTTATATTTCAGTACTGTAGTAATTTAAGGTAAATTAAGTAAGATTAATTAAGAGGGAAACTCCTTTTTCTTGCATTCTTTAATAAAAAAGTAGCAATAGTTACTATTCTTGGTAAATGGGTACTTTTATAATCTTGGAACTCCTTAAGTAACCAAGTTACTTTTTAAACTAAGTAATCGGTCGTCGTTGTTGTCTTCCTCCGCTTATCCGGGTCCGGGTCGCGGGGGCAGCATCCCAACTAGGGAGCTCCAGACCGTCCTCTCCCCAGCCACTTCCACCAGCTCTTCCGGCAGGACTCCAAGGCGTTCCTGGACCAGATTGGAGATGTAACCTCTCCAACGTGTCCTGGGTCGACCCGGGGGCCTCCTGCCGGCAGGACATGCCCGAAACACCTCCCCAGGGAGGCGTCCAGGAGCATCACTGCAGACGCCGCACCAATCCGCCTGTGGATCTCCCGATCCCTCCTACCCTCACTCGTGAACAAAACCCCAAGATACTTAAACTCCTCCACTTGAGGTAGGACCTCTCTCCCGACCCGGAGTTGGCAAGCCACCCTTTCCCGGTCGAGAACCATAGTCTCAGATTTAGAGGTGCTGATCCTCATCCCAGCCGCTTCACATTCGGCTGCGAACCTACCCAGCAAGAGCTGAAGATCAGAGCTGGTTGAAGCTAGGAGGACCACATCATCCGCAGAAAGCAGAGAAGAGATTCTCCTGCCACCAAACTCGACACACTCCACACCACGGCTGCGCCTAGAAATTCTGTCCATAAAGGTAATGAACGGAACCGGTGACAAAGGGCAGCCCTGGCAGAGTCCAACCCTCACAGGGAACAGGTCCGACTTACTACCAGCTATGCGGACCAAACTCGCGCTCCTCTGGTAAAGGGACTGAATGGCTCTTAACAGAAAGTCACCCACCCCATACTCCTGGAGCGTCCCCCACAGGGTGCCCCTGGGGACACGGTCATAAGCCTTCTCCAAATCCACAAAACACATGTGGATTTGTTGGGCAAACTCCCATGCCCCCTCCATCACCCTTGCAAGGGTATAGAGCTGGTCCACAGTTCCACGGCCAGGACGAAAACCACATTGCTCCTCCCCAATCTGAGATTCAACTATCGATCGGACCCTCCTCTCCAGTACCTTGGAGTAGACCTTTCCAGGGAGGCTGAGGAGTGTGATCCCCCTATAGTTGGAATACACCCTCAGGTCACCCTTCTTAAAGATGGGGACCACCACCCTGGTCTGCCACTCCACACGAACTACCCCGATGACCACGCAATGTTGCAGAGATGTGTCAACCACAACAGCCCTACAACATCCATAGCCTTGAGATACCCAGGATGAATCTCATCCGCCCCCGGGCCTCCGCCGTTGTGTAGTTTGACTACCTCAGGGTACTAAGTAATCAGTAACTAATTTTTAAAAGTAACATTCCCAACACTGGTAAAGTGACAGTGACGTAGTTCTGTCAGGATTTTGTAATCCTACTCTTTAACAGTCTATTTCCTATCAGAAGCTAAAGCAGGAGATAGGTGTAAGACTATTTTGTTCAGCCTTGATAACACGGTGATTGATTTTAATTAAAAATGTGTTTTCAGTGTTCCACACATTTAAATAACTTTAAGAGCCATGACGAATTTCTAAACTAAGATTAGCTTCTCATTAGTTCTGCATGTCATAAATGGAGTTTCCTCAGATCAGTGGCATCTACTGTAGGTATGTCTGTATGAAGCTTTGACACAAAAAGAGACTTGAAAATTGCCGAAAGTCCCTTTTCAAATAAACTACGTCTGTAAGGCGGCTTTATTTATTTAAGAACTAACAGGATTATTACATGGCAGGCAGAATCTCTCAGGAAGTAATGGGATCATCCACCCAGTCACCTGCTGTTCATGTGGAAACAGAACCTTTCCACCACCGTTCAAGTGTCTTTCATTTTTATTCTTGTATTTTCCACAGTGACTTTTGGCACTGGCGGAGACAGACTGAACAGTTTTCATCCCACCACTGCTCTGCCTTGCACGTTTAAGCCAATCATGTGTCTTTAGCTCTTGCATCTTGTGAGTACTCTGTTCATGGCTGGAAACTTAAGATCACCTGAGCCGGCTGCTCTTATCCGGCCTTCTCAGGGAAACTGCAGAAAATGTTCCAACTGTACTAAATTCTCAACAGGAGTGGAGTTTTCAGTTGTTCCCATCACATGGCAGTGACTCGCCTCACCGGATTCCCATGATCTCCATGAGGCCTGTTTCCATGTCGGAACGCGAGGGTCATTTCTGGGTGGGGGAAACTGACCAGCGTGAGTAATCTAAAGCTCAGCTGCTCTACCGAGCCGATGTTCAGGTACTCTGAAGCTTCCTGAAAACGGCCCGATTGGCCAGCCCGGTCAAGTGGAGATACGTGCATGAAAGGAAGTTCCAGGAAAACTACCTTGAAGTTCCAACAGTGGAAACATGTCTATGGTCACCAGATCTCATTCCAAGCTAGAACCTTTTGGAAAGCAGTGGAACCA